CCCCAAAACCCCAAAACCCCTTTACTAGGATTTCCTTCAGATTAGTGAGATAAATAAAGTTAACTTGTTAGGAAAAATATTCAAATTAAGATTTATGATTGAATTTAAATAACTTCCACCAATATCTTTGTTTCCTGTACATTTTTACTATTGGATGGTACAGTTTGTTTTCTTGATCAATTACGATATCTTTTAATTCCTTAATCAATCATAATATTTGCTGATTATTGAGGAATCTAAATAGGTTTGTTGCTATTCTCTCATCAGGTTTCTTTGCTTGAATTATTTGAATTATTTTCGAGTATTTTATTGCAGTTACTCCAATTCTTGTGAATATCTATCCTTAGGAAGCTCAATGATCTCATCGTCTGATACATCAATAGAATCAAAATTATTCATTTTTTCTGCCATCTACAATAACTCATCATTGTTAATCAATGGAAGTGAGTTTAAATTTGTAGTTTGTTATATCATTTATGGTCTAATAGTCTAATTCTACGTATTTGTAGTAATTATCGTCGCTAGTTTTAACTTTCTCTATTTATATAGTTAATTATAAAGTTCCTAGTTAGAGATGGGCTTTTTAATTTCTTCTTGTGGAGGCTTTATCTTTTTAATAGTCATTTATCTTGCTCTGTTTTATCTTAGTACGATTGATTCGGCTTAATCTTAATTTGAGTCATTTGTAGTAGCCTCTGAACTTTCATCTGCCATGTTTCGCAGTCTTTTTTCTTGTTCAAAGATATCTACTGGGTTTTAAAAAGTCGTCTTTATTCTACTAAAATTGTCAGCGTTATTGCATACTTCTTTCAATTTAGGATTAAGCTAGTCTTTATTATCGAGATCATAAAAAGCTATTTTATTAGGAGTGGTATATTAGTTAAGTACAGCTGTTATCTAAGTAAAAATATCTAGCTTGCATTAAGCCCAATTTAATCCTAAACTTTAATCTGATTTTTAATAGATTTTATTAGTATCCTAATTCTGTTGCTGATCAAGTTTATCTGGCTTTGAACTTGACCTATTTTAAGCAGCATTTATAGAGTATCTCTTAAAATTTAGCTATGTTTATGTATGCTATGGCTAAAAGTTATTATTCTATATTTTATTATCATTCTATCAGCTTTTATTGTCATCTTGAACCTTTTGATTATTGTTATTGTTTATCTATTTTTGATCATGTTACTTAAAATCATTATTATTTAGATTTAGTCTGATTTATATGGTTTTCTGACCAATTTATTAGCTATCATTAGTTATAGCACTAGATGTTGAAATCTCGTTTTGATTATTGGACTTAAATTTCTTATGAGATTTATTAATAAGGTTAAATATCTTATCTCTCTTTTTTGTTGTCTCTGTATTTATGGGTGCTTACTAAGGAGATTAATCTCCCATAGTTTGAATAATCTCCTCATCCTCATAATCTTTAATTAAATCAGACTCATCCATAATATTCTTTTGATAATATTCATCCTCCTAATCCTCTTCAAAATCTATAAAATCATCCTCACTTTCGGCAAAATCACCATATGATGAAGAAGACTGATCAGAAAAATTATTTTTCTTTTTTTTCTTTTTTGTAGATGAAACAAATTACCCATACTTCCTCTTCTTGGTATTTTACTTTTTGTTTTTATTATTCCTCTCCAGTTTGAAATTTGGTCTTTAATCAGTATTTGAATCCTCATCAGTGAGTTTAGTTTCATCTTAAAGTAGCTAATTTTAAATGATTAATGCTTCTGGGTACTGTTCGTTTCATAGATTTTCATTATAAAACTTCATATATCTATTTGAGACTTACTATAACTACTAACTTTATAACTGAATATCTTTTTCATCAGAGTTGCATTCAATAAGGAGCTAATGGAGCTAATCCTCAAATATAACTCGATTATAAATATCAATGGAAACTTTTCTTCTCTCTCGTCTTACAACTTCATGACAAATACTAAGAGCTTGAATAAAATTTTTGCTCAATGCTCTTAACTTATAAAATGAATCTGTTTCATGCTTAGGTTTATATCTAAGATTCATTTTTTTCTTCTAATTACTTTTTTCTCTCTCCCTAAAGATTGCATGGGAATCTTCACTATGCAAGTCATATCTTCTCCAAAATTATCTTAGTAGACAGCTTCCTATTTGGGATCTCTTTCCTCTCCAATAAGAATAAACTTCTTATAGTGCTTTTTAGTATTAACTATAGTCATTTAGATGTAACTAAATCTTTTATTGAAAATTAGGAATTTAGGTTTTTAACTTGTTAAAAATCTCAGGAAAAAGAAGTAACTTTTCATATCCCCCTTTAGCTTATTAAGGTCCACTAAGTTTTTCGAATGAATCAATTATCCATGCAAGTTGATCTTCACTAATGCCTATTTTTCTAGACAACTCAACATCATCTGAGGTTAGTGCATAATCTTATAGGCTAAAATCTATATATTCTTGGTCATTCTGTCTACCTAGATAAACTGCATAAGGTTTTAAATTTGTCTTTGAATTGCTTTGAGCATCAACAGAGCTTTTTCTTTCCTGGATTAAGGAAGAATTTGTGTTTATAACCTATGGAATTAATACTTCAGATTTTTTCTCTTTGAAAATGTCCAAAATTGGCTATATTTCGAGTTTTATTTATTCTTGAATTGTGGCATCTTATTATTATTTTTACTGCTGATTGAGACATATCCGAATACTTTTACCCTTTATGATATCTTTATTTTCATCTAATTTGAACATTGCCAAATCTCATTTTATTTCTAATTATTCAAACCAATTTTACGTTTATTTTTTTTCCTTGTTTCTTTTAGAACTAGGATAGGTACTTACTCCCTTTTTGCTATGATTGCTGTTTGTCCCTGTACCTTTGTGAGTGGAATTACCAACTCTTTAATTTTAAAAATTATTTTAATTAGGATTTTAATTATTAGCATGCGTAGTATTACTAGTGTGACTATTAATTTGTTGAATAGTATTATTGGCCTGATTGATCTAGTTGGACATTTTTAATAAATTAAGTATGGTTTAAAAACTTCGTAACTCGAATTCAATTAATGTGTAAGAATGTTCTGGTTTGATTGTTTGGTTGTTTAATGCGTGAATATGTGTGTTTAAGTCTGGTTTCTAATTATTCGGATCAATCGAGTCGACCTTATTCAAATTATTTCAAAAATTAAATCTCTAAATTCTTGGGACATATCACTCTGAAGATTCAGATAGCTTTCAATAAAATTCCAAATTCTTTTCCTCGCAAATATTCAGATTTCTAACTCGAGGGGTTTTGGGGTTTTGGGG